TGATATAAATAAGAATGCCATTGTCAAACAACTGTTTTTTTCTTTACCTTAGTGAGTGCTGATGATTCAACTATATGTCCTTCTGAAGGTGAAAAGCTTGTATTTTATCTTTTGCTGAGGGAGAGCATGTCTGCATGATTCCTTATGCTGATAAAGTTTTCATACTTGGTGACTCGGTTACTAAACATTGAACATAATTGGAAAACATGGAGTCAGAAAGTGCAATTGTAATGACTTGTTACTACTGGAAATGGGTCAAGAGTTGGACTTGTACATAGTGAACACTATGTTCCAGTAAAAGGATAAATCCAAAACGTGGATGCATCCAATTTCAAAGCAATGATATATGATTATGTTCTTTTTTTTTTTTTTTTGCATGATGTTTGAGATTTGTGCAGTGTCAACATTATGCAAGGTGCTGAATGCTGGACTGACCATTCTCTTGTTCATGTAAAGCTGAAATCTTTTGTAAAACAAAATAAGAGAAGAGTTTTACCATTCCAAAGAAATTTAATAGGATGTTAGTAAAGAGAATGATTGATATTCAGTGCAGTGATTTGAGAAGAGTTTAAATCATTTGTTTATGATGTCTTCAAGATTCAGTGGAAAGAACACATAAGCATAAAACAGACTGTTACCACTAGGTGTTGACTTCAATGTCCATTTTTGTATTTACATATATATACACACAGATACACACACACATATATATATATATATATATATATATATATATAATTATTTATTTAAAAATATGATTCCAACTCGCGACATAAGAAGTCTCATGTTTCAAGAGCCGAAAACTTCAATATAATTATTTGAATTAAATTAAGTTAAAGAAAGCTCTGTTCCATCTTCAAGCAAAATTTTTTTTGAAATAACTTATTTTAATAATTGAAATCAAAATTTCCATGGTAACAGCTAGGGCGAATTGTTTAAATTGGGTAGTCGTGTGTTGGGTGTTAATAATAAGTATCAGTATAGAGTTACTTTCATAGATGTCAAGTCAGGGTAAGGTGGGGGTGTCTAAATTTGAAACAGAAGATGTTTTAGCCTAGTCTGGCTTACGTGTCTATGGAGATTTATTTATTTTTTTTATTTTATTTCTTTATGAAAGGGATTTGTGCATATAAAAACTGCCGTAACTTTTGTTTTTTGACGACTTCATGAAAGGGTTTTCTTTGTAGGGTATTTAAACTATTTATTTTGGCTATGGATTATAAAAGTTATTATATTGTATGCTTGTTTTTAGCTAATCATTCAAACCATAGATTTGATGATGACGACAAAACCGTTAACTCATGTCTATTGTTTAATAGATTATTATTATTTAGAAACTTAATAATATGCAGCTTCTCATGGAGGCACAAAGTGCATCGGTCATCCCAAGTTTTACAAGTTCTAGTCCTGTTTATAATTTTCCATTTTACTTTAGGTGTCCTATTTATTTCCTTCAGATGCCAAAAATATTTAGATAGGGAAGTCTGGTTTCTTTTATTTATATTGTTGAAAGAGCACTTATGCTGCCTCCATCTACCTAACCAGTTCTTTCTTATTTTCTATATATTTTCACAAATTATATATATATATATATATATATATGGTAGGCTGCCTTGCACTGTTTCAAGGATGTTTACAAGAGGAGGCTGAAACTCACAGGCATCAACTCCAGTAACTGTGAACAGCTTGCAGATGATTGCTGTGGCTGGCACCATTCCAAGAGGAATCATGAAGAGCACAGCAAAAGTAAAACCAACTGTTGGAGATTAAAAGATGATGTTGAAAGCAGTGGCACTAATCTCATACCTTCATTCCACATTCCAGCTTTGTCTGTTATAACAGACAACCATGCAAAGATCAGACAGTGCTCACAAAGGATTAAATTTTGATTTTGACCAAAGAGGGGCACTACCATTATGCCATGTGATAAATAGATGCTTACTATTTCTACTATATATATATATATATATATATATATATATATATAAGTATCTGTAAATTTGCACTTATGTGCAGACACCTTTTGTCATGTTTCCAAGTAAAAAAGTAAAAATATTTTAATAACAAATGTGAAATTCTTGGATTGTAACAAGATTCATGATAACTAATCAAAGATATTTCCTGTTTGTGATATCCAATATTATCAAATCAGGGAAATACAATTTTTCCTCTCAGGTATCACAGAATATATATATTAAAGATCATTGATAGTTACATATATTTTTAATGAACATCTTTGCAAATGATCTATAATAGCATATTACAAGTGAAAGATTAGTTTAATGTTAGAAAAAACACTTTATTCATTGTAAATTATGAAGATTTTTATGATTTTCTCAGCCTGCTTTTTTTTTTTTTTAAAACCGTGTGTGAATTACATCTATGGGGTTTAAGAAATAGAATGTGCCCTCTGAACCTGTGAACTTTGAAAGAAAATGTGCCCTTCGAACCTGTTCTCCTTTGTAGTGGAAATCACTGTCTGATCTAGTATACTTTTAGACCTTTTTAGTGACAAAGCTCACAGCCCAGTAAGCTTCAATTGCTCTTTTAAAGAATACAAATCTTCTTGTTTAGATCTTGTTGAAAACCCATATCTGCCTGCATTATTTTTGTATCTGAAATATAAACAAAATAATTTCTAGGAAATTAATGGATTCTTTTACTTTTATTTTTAATTATTAATCCAAGATATATATATATATATATATATATATATATATATAATCAAATATTACTTTCAGTGGATACCTATGTTAGATGCCCTGTTTTTTATCTTTAGAAATTGCTTTGTTTATTATTTGTATCTGAAAGAAACCAAGCAGGAGTGTGTGTGTGTGTGAACATTGAGGTTAACACCCGGTGATAAGTCTGTTTCATGCTTAAATGCAATCTTCAGGCTTTTGTGTTTAAACATGAAACAAACTGCATCCACAGGTTGTTGACTCCAATGTCCATCTTTATATTAACATGATACTGGGCATTTCAACCCATAAATATAGCATATGTTAAAACTATATTTTTATCATATAATCGTGATTAGAATATATTCAAGTCTGCATATATTATTGATTACAAGGGCAACTTCTTGCTATACTGTCTAGCCAGGTAAAGCAATTATAGGAGAATAGTTTTTACAAAGTGGTTTATCAAATATTGTAGCATTCCAGTTATGAGGTAATTTTTAAGATATTAGATGATAGTATACAGTGCAGAGAGAAATAGGTTACACCTTTCCTAAGAACATTAATGTAAATGAATCCAGTGCATTTCTACACACACACACACACACACACATGACTGAAATAATGTCTGGCATACATATTTTGAAAGGTGTCATTTCACCTCTCTTTCTATACATTTTGTGTGTGGATTATGAATTTCAAATCATTTTATGTTAAAAGTAAAAATGTAGGAAAATGAAATGCATTGTCATTTGATGCTTTTTTTCAGAAAGGAAGAAAACATTCTACAAACATTAAAAAGATAATGTGTCATAGCCAAGAGTACTATTTGTAAAAGGTTTGCTGAAGACCAAGAACATTTTACTAGGTCTGCAGTCATTGATGATAACAAAACTGGAATATTGATTTAAATTAATCCAGGTTACAGACTACCCAACATCACAGAGATATTCCACATATCTCAAATAAGCACTGTAAGGCATTTGAAAATATGTGATTATGTGAAAAATTGAAATGTTTGTGTGCTTCAGGATTTAATAAAAAACAATTAAGGGACGATAATTCCATCTGTGATTCTCTGCTCAAACATAACACAAACAACCCATTTTTGAAAAGAATGATCATAAGTGATGAAAAATGGATTGTTTACAACAATGTGGAGTGAAAAAAAGATTCTGTGGAAAATGTCAATAGCTAGTCTGCATCTGAAGAAGGTGATACTATGTATCTGGTGGGATTGGAAAAGCATTGTGTATTAATCAAATGTTGAATTCAGACAAGTACTATTCCCAATTAGACTGATTAAAGGAAGCAATTAATGAAAAGATTGAGAACATTCTGGTAGGCCTGAGGTTGTTGATACCTAAATTGGAATGATGATCAAAAATAATTCAGGTCACACAATACTGGATATCACAGAGATATTCCACACATCTCAAATAGGCATTGTAAGGCATTTGAAACCTGTGCATATGTGGATAGTTGAAATTTTTGTGTGCGATTTAATGAACTGCATTTCCCTCTGAAATTCGCTTCTCAAATGCAACAAAATCCATTTTTTGAAAAGAACAATCTCAGGTATTAATTATAACAATGTGAATTGAAAAAAGTCTTGGGGGGGAAAATTGAAAAGCCAGTTTGCATCCAAAGAAAGTAATGCTATATACTTGATGGAATTGGAAGGGCATTATGAGCTCATTCAACAAAATCAGACATATTGGGTTAAATAAATAGATGTAAAAATATCTAAATATTATCTTTGATATTCACTTAAAAAAACATTATGAACTTTTCTTCCTACCCAATATATATTTTTCATTATTATAAATGTTGTGCGCACACACACACACACACACACTCTTCTCATGTCTTTCATTATAATTTTCCAGATATAGTTCTGTCCAAAACTCATTCTGTTTTTGGAAAACACTTCAAAAATAGAGTAGTTTATAGATAGGCTCACCATAAAGATTTTACAATTTTTATTATAGGTTTTGTTTGCTTGTATAATCAAGTGACTTAACCTCCTTTTAAGCTTCAGGGCTGACACAGGAAAAACTAATACTGATAGCTGATGTCACTGGGACAGACCTGACCAAACTGTGATATATAGTAAGCCTATTTGTAGAAAAATATAGTATTTGGTTAAAATCAACTGAAATGTTTAGAAACTTGTGCATACATACTTTTATGGAAATTGTTTTACTTACTGCAATGTTCCTTATTTTGTGACCAAAATAATAAAAGGATTAAATGTCTACTGTATATAGCTTATGATTGTTATCAAAAGACTTAAAATTTATCTTTATATTTTTCCAGAATGAGGATTTTGATGTGGTGCTCTTGGCCTCGCTTCCCCTTGTCCAGGTTGTATTTCCTGAATCCCTTGTGATGCCAAGATGCACAGTGTATGGCAGCATTGAGGAAAGTTTCCAAGTAAAAAATATTGGGTAGGTATTTTTGGTTTTATTGCAATCTCAAAAAGGATTGGAGAAGAAGCAAGGGACCTTTTCTGTATTTTGGTGTAAGTCAATATGATATCCAAGTAATCTGATTTTCAAGAAGCATTTTTCCTTCATCCTGTTATTCTGGTCTCTTTGATTCCTATCTTAAAAATCTAACTCTTGTTTTTGCATAAAGAATGGAAGAGCATCAGTGGAAATTTCAAGGTGGTCTAGTGTCTTGGTTTTGCTACAGTTCAAGAGAAATACATCGTTTTGTCTTGAATGTTTCTATTTTTCTTTTTAATACACATATGTTCATCATTCATGAAACCAAATTCATTTGAAGAATTTGTGTAGGTTATGAGGTTAATTCTGTAAAAGCTTCTTGAAACACAGGCATCATTATATTTACTGGTTTTTCTTAACTTTAACACACATTTTCGTTAAAATACTAAACACTTTTTATATCAGAATTATTAGTAACAGTTTCATGGTAATGGTTTCAAATGGATTTTTCTTGTTAATATTTTTAGTTTCTGGAAGGCATTTTGGATTTTGGTATTACATTTTCTGTCATCTGTTAAAATAGTTCCCAGATATTTAAACTTTTTTGTACTTATTAGATTTTGACATGCATTTTATAAATATCATTTACTTTGAAGGTAAGAGGATATTCTCTTAATCACTACAGTATTAGACATTCTTTTATTCTTAGTAAATAAATGAGTAGGCCATCTAAGAAGAAAAAAAAACATACTGCATTGTATTTGTTGTTAGCAATGGGAACCCTTAGGAACAACATTCATTTATTGTTTAAAAACTTAAAAAAAATATAATCTTCTGACATTTTTCTCTCTATAGGGACAAATGTTTTGACAAGTAAATAACATTTTAGACAATTTTTGCTTTTATTGGATTTCTGTGTTCAAAATTCTATGCTAAATGTATAAAAAAATGTATTTCTGTTTTTCACACTACAGTCCATAAGCTCAGCCCAAGTTGTTAAAATTGGTACCAAATTAGGGGAAAACTTCAATAGAATATTTTAATAGTTACAAATATATAGAATGGGAAATGTATGATAGCCTTGTATGTGATATATGAAAATTTTGGTTTCAAACAATTAGTCTTGACCTTGTTTTGTTTTCAAAAGTGATGTGCATGTAGTATAATTATTATCAATATGGCAAATGAAATCAGTGAATTCCAATCTCTGCCTAGTCTGTTCACTTTTGCATAAATACCTTTGGAAAAGGTATAAAACCTACACTTCTCCCTAACAAGCTATGGATTAAATATCAGTGGAAGTATAGGCTTTCTAAAAGCCTTGGATACCAACCAGAAGAACCAGTCTGGATGTAAAAACTGAAGAAAACTGGAAACCACTCCATTATCTTTCCCAAGAAGTTATGGCAATTCAGAGATTAAAAAAAAAAATAGAATCTGTAGTGAGATGTCATGTAGGGATGTAACAAAAAAAAAACTCACATTTATTTTTAAAGGAGAAAAACAAATTATGATATATAAAGCTAATGCCATGTATTTTTTTGTTTTCAATTAAAAAAAAAAAAAAATTCTATTTTTTATGGTGGACATTATTCAGTAAATTAAAAAAGAAATTTTTTGATTTTCTTTTTTAATAGCAAATAAATGCAAATTTAATGGCAAATGAATGCACATTTTTGGATACATTGTTTGAAAAAGTGTTAATTATTTATTGATATTTTGAATAAATTTTCTGCTTGTATATAACTAATATTAAACTGTTTTAGTTCAAGTTTGTCAGATGTCTGATTTTTGAATTTTCTCTGCTTTCATGGCAACCCTAAAAAGATACAGTAGAAAAACAAATAACTTTTGTTTTTAGATGAGAAGAAAAATAATAATATTTTTTGTCATTAGCTTACCTGACTGAGAGGATTTTATGAAGATATGTAATACACTGATGGAAGTCTTATTTGAAATTTCCTACCACAATTCTGTAGAACAAGTTTTTATTTTTTTTCTAATAACCTTTTGGTGGTCAGTACCATAAGCTATAGGCAAAATAAGCTAAGGAATGAGCAAAGCAAAAGAAGTTCTTCCTGAAATACATTTGTAGACAGAAATGAAATATTTGTGAAAAGCACACAGAAGCAGAAGAGGATATCCAAAAAAGGGAAGTTACTGCATCCTACCTGAATTGAATTACACCGTCAAATAGCTTTACTTTTTCAGTGATGATTTGTATTGGCTTATAATACATGAACTACAACAGATCATATCACATCATCTTCCTAAACACTCCAAAACATAAAAGCAGATTTTTACACTATAATATAATACTTGCAAATAGTGAAGAAGTATGTTGTCAGTGGTTGGGATATTCAGCCTCAAAAATATATTTTCTTATAAGTTGTTCATCAAGAAGAAAAGTGTATAAAATTAACAAAAATCTATTCAAGAAACTGGAAGAACCTTGGAACAATTATTTCTTTACATGGAAAGAATACTAATCATTTAGAAAACTATCAAGTCTGGTGTGAACTTGAAGTTAACATATTTAAGGAAAACAAATGATATTATTAGGAAGCAGAAAATATGTAAGAGGAACAATACTAGCTACAAATTTTACTTGATTGCTTTGGTAAGAGCACTGAGCATGTCAAACTTGCCATTAAATGGGTCAAATGAGAAAATTTAGAGTGAACAATTGAAATGTTAAAAATTTACAGAATATCTGGCCTATTTCGATATTATCATAATTATACATTTGTATGAAAAGAAAAGAAATTAGCATACAAAGAAAGATCCTGATATAAACCTGTATGTGTTTTTGATGTCTTGCAATATATATTTTAAATTTCATACTCAATGATGCTGTTATGTATTATCTGAAAGTAACAAATTGCTTTAGTTTAACAGATCAATAATTATTTCTCTGTCTTGATTGAGCATTAGCAAATTCTTGTTGACCTTAGTTCAGACTTAACTGTTAAGCTATTGAGAGAAACTAGATGGAAGATTCAGAACTTGGTGATTTCTATGACGACACAGGTTGAAGATTTTAATCTAGGAATACTTCTTGAATTGAAACTAAGGCTTTGGCTGATGCAGCTAATAATTTCAAGTTTGTAACATCCTTTGTTATATGGCACAATATCATTTTGAAGTCAATATTAGAAGCAAGTTGCTACAAAATAAAGAAGCTGATCTATTCATTTAGAGGACAATTGCAAATCTTGTGGACTGCTGGTGTGATGAGGTTTTTCAGCAAGATTTGACAGGTGCAACTTTTTTTTTTTAATCAGTATCACTTGATGCAAGGCAGTAAACAAACTAATATACAAGGTGTTACATGGTGTGGAAGAATTAGAAAGAGAAACATCTTACTTATTATAAAACGCAGGTTGTGTGTGTGTATCTGTAACGTTTATATGTTGGATCGAATTTCCTACATTTTTTAGCCGATTTCAACAAAACTTCACAGGACTACATAAAATTACCTTGTGGTGGTTCTAATGGGGCCGAAAATGGGAAAAATACAGTTGTTTTTTAATAAAATCAATTTGAAAACATTATTAAGAAGACACATCGTGAGAATGAAAGGGGGAGAACTCACCCACGAAAATGTAAACAAAAGAGCATAGCATGATGAAAAAGACGCCGAACTTGATGAAAACAAAATTTTATCGTCTAATGTTCATATTATTATTAAAGAGGAAAGATCAAAGTATTTTGGGGGTATTTTTTTACATTTTTTAATTGTTCCTAGCACGTCTGAAATTTTCGTTAAAAATATTGTTTCTTTTTGATCAAAAAAAAGGCAGATAATCATTTTCAATCATTTTTTTCGATTTGATAAAAAAAGATTAAAATCTTACTTTGATATTCTTTTAAAAGTCAATTATCATTTTTTCAAAACTGATTTTAATAAAAACAGATATTATACTGTTTATTTAAAATATTTTGAACCAAGCTTAACTTAGCTTCTGCGCCGAAAAAATGTAATTTGAAAATAAAACAAAGCAGGTCATAACCTTTCGCGTCGCTTGACGAAAGGCACATTCATGACGTTTAGATAACTTACGGGAGGAGAATTCTTTCTACGGATAGAAGGAAGTGAAATTATTTAAGTGAACAAATTATTTACCTTGTTACTTTTAAGGAAAACTTTCAGCGCTCTAATTTTTTATTTTTATTTTTTTTTTTTTTTTTTGTACTTAGCTTTCATTTTTACGTTTACGATGCTTTTTGGAAAATATAAAGAAATTCAAAAATAAGACTCAAGATTAAATTTCATAAGAAAAAAAGGTATCTAATTAATTTAGGTACCTTTCTTATGAAATTTTTATCAGAAGTGTACATAAAATACTATAATTTTATGTACATTTATTACATTTTACTGTGTTATTTGTATTTCCATTCATTTTATTATTAATTTTGATATTTCATTTATGGAAAAATGTCATAACTGAGATTATTATAAAAATAAGATCATATAAATTAAAGTTTAGCAGTAGTTAAATTTCATAAGATGATACTGTTACTTGTAGGTACCCTTCTCAGTTGAAATTGAAAATTCAAATTAACTTCTCCATACGTGTTTCGCAAAAGTAAAGGGCTTAACAGCGGAGAACAATGCTGAACTCAAATAATGCAACTAAATTGTATTCTGGTTGGTCTTCCGTACTTGATAATTAGTGTCCGACTATAAACACAAAAATTACATTTCTTAATTACCATGGCTAATCTGATTGGTCCAAATTATACAATTTTCAAAGCGCTAGACAATGACAATCTCACACGGACATTTTGAAAGGTTGATGTTGCTTTTAACTAATGTTAAAATATTTTTTAAAATTCATTTTAAAATTAAAGAAATAAGAAATAATTGTATTAAAAATTGAATTTTCATTGAAAAAATTTTTTGCTTTCAGAAAATATTGTCCATATTCATAAAAACAAATTAAAACAAATAAAAGCATTTGAAACTAAATAATATATTTGTTTTATTGAGTTTTGTA